TCGACAGCGAGCTCACAATACAAATCGCGCAACCATATATCATCGACATCTCTACTGGTTAGTTACATTCATCAACCGGGTCTGAGTAGTGTTAAACTATAACTAATTACGACTACGAACACCTTTTTTCTAAAGAAAATTGAACCCCCCCAAAGCACACCAATATGTGACACTCGATGCGTTAATAATGCCCGGCTCATATACTTGTTCCATGAATGATCCCCTCCTTAAAATGTTCGTTGGTGCGGCTTGGGTGGTAGAGGGGATCTAGGGTGTGCGAATGTATTAGATTATGCTAGGAAATTGCAAAGAAACATGAGTGATAGCAATTATAGCAAAGTAATCAGCATATGCTCGATTTTCTTCGTGTTACGTGTCTTCATTGGCTGAGGTACATGGGGAACTTACTGGGTCATGCACGGCCCGGTCTTTCGGAATTGCAAAACATAAATATACTACTATTAATTTGCCTGGACTAGTCCGTCCTGCTGATACTCTGACCTATGGGCTGCTTTGTGAGTTGCTAAGATATGGGTTTGTAAGCTGGAGTTGTATCTATTCGAGGGCATTATCTTGTATGCATGTACCTGAGGCGGTAAATCCCCAAAATCAGTATTGTAGGTCTTCTCTGATTCTCCCTCACTCCCCCGATCCCAATCTCCTACCCGACCCCAAACCAGCTAGCATGTGGCCACACTTCCAATCATCAACCGTGCAAGTTGAAGCTCCAAATTTGTGACCGACTAAGATGATGTAAGAGAATGCATATTCATTTTACACCTTTCTGGGTAGTGATGTAAGAGAATACCTACTTCTAGAATTGGGATGTCTACTAATTTGAGCGAAAGGACAACTTAAGGTGATAAAAAATGATAAGGAAATGTTAGTTAAAATAGTATTTCCAACTAAATCAAACTGAAAAAATAGCATGTAAATTTTCATTATCATGGGTGTCTTGGCTTAAAAACTACTCCCTCTGTCCCATAATATAATACGTTATTACATGTAATATGTGAGTACAATATATTGGATGTAATAATATCTTATATTATGGGATGGAGGGAGTAGTATACTGATACTTGCATTTGATCAAATCTTCAAGTGACTTTTCCTTTTACAGATAACATATTCAATCTTTGAGTTTCTGCTCAGGCCTCCCACAAGAAATAATTGTTTTAGACTGCAGAGACCTCTGGGCTTTAGCATGACAATGCCTCATTTGCATTTCAATGACTAAGTTGGGGAGTCACCATAGACTTTGCCAGTTGCCCTCACCTCCAGCCGACATGTTGCGGGGTGAGGGGCTACTTGCATCTTCCTAGAGCATATTTAGAACTATTAGTAGCATGTTTATCATCTTCAACGACAACATTTTGGCAAAGGGTGTGATGTTGTCGAGAGTAAAGGCAACGTCTTATCGGGGTGGCTCCAAGGAGCCAAAGAGTTTGTATGTCTGCAAATTTGGTGTGTCGAACCTTGTAGGTTTAAAGTTTTTATCCTCGCAGATTCATTCATATGGATCTAATGAGTATTTTCTTTGTTCGAAAAAACTTGTCCCAAACTCGTCTCTTAAATGGATGTATCTAGCATTAACTTGATGCTAGATACATCCATTTGAGGAACAAACTTTTCCGGACGGAGGAAGTATGTGTTAGTGTTTTCTGATCCTTTTGTTGGTTGACCCGTTGTTACTTTGGAGTCCTACTTTACCATTTTGGTGGAGATCATGTTGTTCGACTACCCCTACCTCTAGGGGATCATCCCTGTCCAAATACGTTCAACTTTCAGTTGTTCATGGCTTCGGGACAGTCCAATAAATAGAGTAACCGACCTTTGGGAGGAGCAATAAAGCTGAGCATTTTAGCCCTTCAAAAATACATGCAACATTAGCAAAGGACACCACATGTCCACGTTCTATCTTGCAGGTCAATTGCTTCCAGCCACAATATGGTACTACTATTGGCGACTTAGTAATTAATTGAACTGATGGTAATATCTCCATATAAGTGGTCCGACGGAGAGAAAGTTCGGAATCCAAATCGCACAACCATGTATCATCGATATCTCCACTGACTAGCCATCAATCCGGCCGAACATTGCTACAGCTTGCTAGTCTATGCAGAGGTGGAACACACTAGCTAGTAGATGATACTCCACACATGGAAGAATTAACTTCTGGCGCATACACATGTTGACACGGTTTTTCTTGTATGTATGTTCATCGGTGAGGACTGAGAGGCAGCAGGAATTCAGGTTGTACGAGTAGTGGCGTCGAGGCTTGCACGACACAAAGATGAAGCTAAGGCGAAAGGCAATCTTGCATATGCTCGATTTTCTTCGTGTAAAATATCCGAATCAACCTGTCGATTGCTCCTCGCCAAATATGTGTCCCAAGACAAATAAGCAGAGCCGGTTGAGAACCATGCAGTCAGAGAAGATAAAAATCCGAGAATGAGCTTGCAACACAAAATTCGCTGCAATACACTTTTACGTCGTGGCATAGTTTCCATTTGATACATCATGTACTATTTTCATCCATCGTATGGTTTCGCTGCAGTATACATTTTGTTTTTCTCTTTTGCATGGTTACGCATACCATTGTCTTGTGGCATGGTTTTACTGAAAATTTGCAGGTGCGGGGGCACACACCTGCGCAGCCCTGCTCGGCCGCCCGATTGCCTCGCTATTCACTAAGTAGTTGGACCCTGCAAGAGAACATAGTAAGTTATAAGTTTTGATCTTTGAAACTTACGAATTTGCATCTAAAACTTGTGATTTTCCCGCTCGCTCGTACCAAGTATCAGAGATAAAACTTTAAGCCATATTTTTTGTCGATCGTAGGCACAAAAGTCATGATTTTATCGGTCGCTCGTACCAAGCTTCAAAAGTTGAAACTTAACATATGTTTTGAAAATTCATCAAAATGTATTCAGAATGGGTCTTATTTGAAAGTGCTCGTCAAGAGAAACATGAATGTGAAAATAGAAATTAATTTGGACTTTTCGTTCTAAAGATATAAAAATTTGAATATCGAAAGACAAAATAAAAGCACAGCGAGGGACTCGGTGCTGACCTGCGTGCCACAAGTTCTCTTCCTTGTTTTGCTACAAAATATCATTGTTTTGTGGCATAGCTTCGATGTAATACAGATTACCTTTTATTTCGTGACATGGTACCGTCACAAAGTAAATATACACCCATGGCATCATGCCACCTTGTTCAAACTTCTTCGACTATGTTTACATTTTTTTATTGAACATAGTACAAACATAGACGTTCATACAAACACACATACACTCACGCGTGTTACATCTATCAAAGCAAGGCCGCATGCATGCAGTTGATACTTATGCATCAACTGAAATTCATCAATTATAGTCTTCTCTACTTCACCTACATACTAAACTTGGTGGGTCACATTTGTTCGGCAATATTTTGTCACCCTTTCAATGTTTCCTAGGAAATAAAAATAATAATGCAAGAAAATACTTCTGCCATACTTTTATCTAAAGTAGCATGCAACAATAAGAAAAATCTCTACTATTCGGCCGGTGTTTGTTTGCAGTGATCTGTTTAGGTTAGGTCTTTGTTTGTCTATGTTCATGTGTCTATAGGTTGGATCCTTCTGATGTACGCTTCTTTCATTGACGACTGTTGATATTCTGGTGTGCGGGTTCTTTAGGGCCTTAGCATGACGATTTCTTGACTATCTACTAAAATAAGGCTTGTCTGACTCCGATGAGGAAGGGGCAAAAACGATGGCGCACCATTGGCTCGCTCTAGTGCTTGTAATTATCCACTCGTTGCTAGGTGGTCTACGAACATGGATATAATAATTATTATTTTTTTATTATTGTGACGATGTTTAATGAATAGATCGGAGTTTTCTCTGTAAAAAAAAGTGTACATGCACGTGCATTAGGTTCGCTCAGTGTTCTACCTATATCTTGTTTCCTAGTGATTTTTTTGTATTGTTTGAGCGTGTTCTTCAAAACTTCTCTCTAACTTGTCCGCCAACAGATCTGAACGTGTTCGTGGATATTTCTCTACTTGTCCATGGGAAAATGATACCCAACGGCCGCCCCTTATTTGTTCACACACACTAATTTTTTGTCAAAATTCATCATAATTCAAGCATCCAAAAATATTACATGCATGATATTGCAAATAAACTTATTCGTTGTCAATGTAAACTACCACCAGCGCTTCTCCTTCCACATTAAGTTGGGGAACATGTTCAGAAAAGGTTGAAAATAATGACATGTTCAAAAAGTTAAGCCAGAGATTAATTACTACAGATGTACAGTACTAAATGCAGTACCACAGGCACAGGGGTCAAGCAACGAGTCACAATGTAATCACCTCACAAATTATGCATATTTTTCCTCCTGGAAGATGGCACCCACAGTATCGCATTTTTAATGCAATATAGACTGCATCAAGATGAAGTGAACACATCTATATATTCCAATAAAGCAAACATTAGGCAACAGTAAAAGCTTCAGTTTTAGGGAAAGAAAGAGTACAGACTTGGTACCTACAGAGTTATGAAGTTTAGTAACTCCTTCCAACTAAAAGATGACAGGACAGATGATTTGCAAAGTGCATATCATAGACATTTCATGCAAATCATTTTTCAATTAGGACCGGAAGTGAATCACAGCACGTGAAGGCAAACCCAAATCTTCAGTTGTCCATTTCCTCTCCTCGGAAGTCCTTGGATATCTAGATGGACAAACCTTGTCCTTGATCTCGGGATCCAAATCACCACAGCACCCACACACCTTCCTGTCATACAGAGATATCTCACCCACATTAACCGCAGCTTCCACGACACGCCTGATGTATAGCACAAAGTTGTCATCAGGCTGGAAGCCATAGATGGTGAGCTTAACCAAATTCTTGTGCTTGAAATCAGGGGCATATGGCTTCCAATTCACGTCCGACTTATCGCACAAACCATGTAGCTTCCAGAACTCTTTGTCTGTGATAATTATGCACTAATGATCCCATACTGTGATACACAGCTCTTTTAGGGAGGGCGCAACTTCAAGAATAAACATTGTCCAAGCAAAATCACATCCTTCAGGAAGATGGTTCAGATTCACATGTTGTAGTTTGTTGAGCACAGGCACGAGCAGTTTCGGGCATTCTGGGATAACCCAAATCTGGGACAGAAAAAAAAATTAAAACTCAGTGCAAGTTGCATATAACTTACATTCTCAACTACCAGGGAAGACCCACTCAAGTTACTATTCAGTGGCGGAGACAAGGAGGGGCGAGCAGGGGCCTGGCCCCCCTATCGATCGAGTAATCATCGAGTATACACTAGTTAATTAGCGACATGTTTCACGTGCAAAAGTACTTGCCCCCCCCCCCCTATCTTGACGTGAATTATGAAAAAAGAAAAGGAAACCAGGCCTATGTGAAAGCCCACGTAAAAGTTGTTTGTGTGCAAGTACATTGCAAGGCCTGATTTGGCGTATGGCCTCTGCTAAGGGCATGTACAATGGTTGATAAGATAGTCTTATCTTAAGTTTTGCATTTAATTTAGAGATGACAAAAAAATGTCTACAATGGGTCATCTCTTAGCCTTATCTTCAATAACTAGCAATTCCTAAAAATGTGGTGAGACATATTGTGCTAAGAGATCATCTCTTGTCTTATCTTAAATAAGAGAAGACAAACCTTCTCTTATGAGTTCTCTCTCCTCCACCACATCATTTATCCTACGTGGCACTCCTAAGATAGCACCATTGTACATGCCCTAAGGTCTCCTGGGCGCTGGAAATTCCCTCTCGTCATTAGCGCGTGTGTGGGTGGATTAGTGATACGCCGCTGCCGTCGTGTGCCTGTCCCGCCTACCCGCCTACTGCCTCTACTATCCCTGCCCGCGATTCGGTTCATACGGCAACGCAGGCTGATCCTCTCGCCAATTCTTAAGACTGCAGCCAACGAATTGACCAAGGTTAATATACCTTTACTAATCCCTCTCAGTTCTCATCTTGTAGTGTTATAAATCATATTTTATTTATTTTGGCTGTGTGATTTGTGATGCATTGCCACGCTAGGTCATAGGCACCCACAAACCGTTTGAAAGCTCGGACCGATCAATGCTTCCTCGAGTACGGCTGCATTGGTAAGCAGTGATGGTTATTACGCTCTACCAACGACAACCAGCCGATCTACTTTGACCTAGCGGCAGAGGGGACGGTGAGGGTCTAGGTTTTGTTCTCTAGGTATGTATTTTGACAACAGAGATCAATTTTTCCTAATACATATTACGCCCGGATAATTAAGCTACAGTAATACCATGCTAATGGTGACATGTCTTCATTTTTACTGTTGCTAGTCCCGGGTTGGTTATTACCGATTCAAATTTTAACTTTAAAATAAAGTCAAACAATAGGTATTTTCAAATGTCAAAACTAAAATGTGAAAAATGTGAGAAATAATTCATAGATAATTACAGTGCTGAACCAATATTTTTACAAAGTGAATAAATGCCCTTAAATGAATAAAACAGGGGCTAAAAACCATTATTAAATGCTTTTAAATAATAATAAAAATACAAACCTATTTTATTATTGTACCAAACTAATTGTTGCTCTGGCCTGAATTGCAATAGTAATTAAGGTACAAGTTTCATATTTTATAACACTATTTTACTATTGAAAATTAAAATGAAAATAGAAATAAATAAAAAGAAAGTAAACAGAAACTAACCTACTATGCACCGGCCTTGATGTGAACAGGCAAGGCCCAGCCCACCTGGAGCTCGTCCCCAACCTCTCTGTTCATCAGAGGCTGGGTGGACGCCGCGCCATCGTCCGTGGCCATGGATGGCCACGTGCCGAACATCTAGCCCCACCCTGGCGTCTATAAGGCCCTCCTTGACCCCGTACGCGAACCCTAGCCCCCCTCATCTCACCCTCTTGTGCCGCCATCATCGTTTTTGTTCGTGCCCGAGCGGCTGCCCGCCATGGACATCATCGTAGCCGCGGCCAGCACGCTTGCTGTCGCCTGAGAAGATGTGCAGGAAGACGGACGTACTCCTCTACTTCGTCTACACCACCAGATTGACGCTGTAGAACTCCAACGCCGCCGCCCGCTTCATCTTCTTCCTCGGACGCCGCCGGACATCCTCGTCAAATTCGCCGCCGTCTGCCGCTCCTAACCTTCCACCGGCCTTTCTTGTGCCCCGCGGTGAGCTCCTCGGCGATTCCCCCTAATTTCCCCGTCGATTCCATGATGTATCACCGCTCCCCGCAAGCGCCGAATCTCGCCGTCGCCGTGGACGACGTGCCTCTCGTTGCCGAGCTCTCTGAGCCTCCCAGTGTCTTCCGTCGTGCCTGTAGTGACCTATAGCTGCTTCCTAGATGCTCCTTTTGCTCACCCTCGAGCTGCAACTGACCCGCCATAAACACCATGCTCCGACCGCTGCTACTCTTGCCGCAGTTGCTGCTCTTTGCTATTGCCGCTGGTTGCCGCTGCTACCTGCTCTCGCTGTAGCTGCTATTGCTGGCCATGGCCTTGACCATGGTCAAGAGCATCATGGGTGTTCTGTGTGTGTGTGACCGGCTGGGCAATTGCCATGGAGACCGGCCCTGATTAGATTAGGGACTAAGCCCTCTCTAGTACTAACACACCCCATTTTGAGTCTATTACATGGGCCCCCACTAGGTAAATTGTTTACTAAAATAATTTGAACACATGTCCCACTGACATATGGGTCCCACTTCTAAATAGAACCAATTAGTTAAAATAGTTTAACACCAGTCCATGACATGCGGGCCCTTTGACCATGTTGACTAGTCAACGTAGACTGAGTCAGCTGCTGACTGTGCACTGTTGACTTTTACCCTGACCCATTGTCAGCCACACATTACACCCATGGGTACACTTCTCTGTGTACCCATAGCATTTAGTATTTATTTGAATTTTGAATTAAATAAAATAATAATTTTAGAAGATGTTTAAAACTTCGAAATTTAATGTAAAATAAATTGTAACTCCGATGAAAATACTTTGTACATGAAAGTTGCTCAGAACGACGAGACGAACTCGGATACATAGCTCGTTCGTCTGCCACGCATCCCTAGCATTGTGAACACGCAACTTTCCCCCTCCGATTCTTCTGTCCGAAAAAGCAAAACACCGGGGATATTTTCTCGGATGTTTTCCCCCTTCACCGGTGTCACCTCATACCGCGTTAGGGCACCCCTAACACCGCTACTTGTCATGTCATGCATCGTTATGCATCTGTTTGCATTGTATTCATTGTTTCTTCCCCCTCTTCTCTCCGGTAGACTACGAGGCTGACGCTGCTGCTGGTGCCTTGTCCGACTACGTTGTTGACGACCCTTACTTGCCAGAGCAACCAGGCAAGCCCCCCCCCCCTTGATCACCAGATATCGCCTAATCTACTCTCTATACTGCTTGCATTAGAGTAGTGTAGCATGTTACTGCTTTCCATTAATCCTATCCTGATGCATAGCATGTCCTTGCTACTACTGTTGTTACCTTTACCTGCAATCCTAATGCTTAGTATATGATGCTAGTTTATCATCAGTGGTCATACATTCTTGTCCGTCTGCCATGCTATACTATCGGGCCGTGATCACTCGGGAGTTGATCACGGGTATATATATATACATAATATATGATACTTGTGGTGACTAAAGACGGCTCGGCTCGTAGGAGTACCCGCGAGTGATTCACGGATTGGGTCCAAAAGGACGTTTGTCCCGACGGCCCTCTGAGTGGATCTTTGTGGCGAAGCGACAGGGCAGGTTGAGACCACCTAGGAGAGAGGTGGGCCTGGCCCTGGTCGGCTTTCGCGGTTATTTCAAAATAACACGTTTAACGAGATCTTGGTATTTGATCTGAGTCTGGCTACTGGCCTATACGCACTAACCATTTATGCGGGGACAGTTATGGGCACTCGACATCGTGGTATCAGCCGAAACCTTCATGACGTCAGCGACTCAGCGGCGCGCGCCGGGTTGGACTGGAACGCCTACTCTTGTATAAGGGAGGCTAGGTCTACTCACCGGCCGCGTACGCAACGTGCAGGTGTGCAATGGGCGATGGGCCCAGACCCCTGCGCCATAGGATTTAGACCGGCGTGTTGACCTCTCTGTTGTGCCTAGGTAGGGCTGCGACGTGTTGATCTTCCGAGGCCGGGCATGACCCAGGAAAATGTGTCCGGACAAATGGGATCGAGCGTGTTGGGTTATGTGGTGCACCCCTGCAGGGAAGTTAATCTATTCGAATAGTCGTGATCTTCGGTAACAGGATGACTTGGAGTTGTACCTTGACCTTATGACAACTAGAACCGGATACTTAATAAAACACACCCTTCCAAGTGCCAGATACAACTGGTGGTCGCTCTCTCACAGGGCGACGAGGGGAGGATCATCGGTTAGGATTATGCTATGCGATGCTACTTGGTGGAACTTACCATCTACTCTCTTCTCCTGCTGCAAGATGGAGGTTACCAGAAGCGTAGTCTTCGACAGGACTAGTTATCCCCATCTTATTCCGGCATTCTGCAGTTCATTCCACATATGATACCCTTATTCCATTTGATACCAATGCATGCATATGTAGTGTAGCTCCTTGCTTGCGAGTACTTTGGATGAGTACTCACGGTTGCTTTTCTCCCCCTTTTCCCCTTTCCTATATCCGATTGCTGCAACCAGCCGTTGGAGTCCAGGAGCCAGACGCCACCGTTGATGACGACTGCTACTACTCGGGAGGTGCCTACTACTACGTGCAGCCCGCTGACGACGACCAGGAGGAGTTTAGGAGGATCCCAGGCAGGAGGCATGCGCCTCTTTCGATCTGTATCCCAGTTTGTGCTAGCCTTCTTAAGGCAAACTTGTTTAACTTATGTCTGTACTTAGATATTGTTGCTTTCGCTGACTCGTCTACGATCGAGCTCTTGTATTCGAGCCCTCGAGGCCCCTGGCTTATAATATGATGCTTGTATGACTTATTTTATTTGTAGAGTTGTGTTGTGATATCTTCCTGTGAGTCCCTGATCTTGATCGTACATGTTTGCGTGTATGATTAGTGTACGGTCAAATCGGCGGCCGCACAAGTTGGTATCAGAGCCGACTGCCTGTAGGAATCCCCCTTCCACACTCCTTGGCCGAAGTTGAGT